TAATATGTAGATCTAACTTTAATTCACTTCGAAAGTGCCTTCTTCTCTTTCACATCCAGGAACGGAAGTTTTTCACGGTTAATTTATGCTGATTAATTTATACATCTCGATTAAAATCTCCATGATTTTGTCTGTAGCTTCGCTCGTTGTGATTGCGCCATTAATTATTAATCGAAATCAACCCCGTTTACTTTCAATTACCCAGAGATATCAGCCAGCTGAAAAAGCGTCGATGATTACTTTATCGATACTCCAAATTTCCCGTTCATAAAATTGCGAAGAAACGAAGCTACGGTATCGTTGCTTCTATTTTTATTAAAGTTAAATAAAAATTCCGGTGAATACTATGTGAAGGGAGATATTCAGAGAGGGAGAGAGATGGAGAGAGAGATTCGACGGGGTCGATATTATTTCACCGCGTTTAATCACTGCCAGCCAATAAATCGCCCCTAATTTGGTTTAAGCACCGGCCGGAATTATCTGTACCTACACCAAAGTCTCCGGATTATCTCACCGCTGCGGCTCGAACGACATCGCGTCTTCCTGGGACCGTCGCCATCTGCAAATTACCATTAATCGTCCTGATCATTTCAACGAAATTCACGACAAATTTCGAACTTCTTTTCACCTCGAAATCGTAATAATAATATTATCGATGAAATGTATAATATTTTCGTATGATGCAGTGGATGGAAAGTATATTTTTCCGCATTTCGTGTTTGTTTAAACAGCACGCAAGTGTTTTTCGTACTTACAAGGGAACATCCTGGAAGTGATAATCATCGATTTTGATGAAACTTTGATATACCTATAGTAGTTTTCAAAAAAATATTCGACACATATTTTTTTATTTTGGCAATCGTCCACAGTGAAGGAGAGAAAGTTGCCCTCGAAATCGGTGGTAGTAAATACAGGTATCTAGTTTAATATCTCGGAAATTCTTAGAGATAGAGGAATAGTGTAAATTGACGAATTTCGTATTTTTCAACGGCAAATTTGAAAAATAAAAAATAATAAATAATTTTGACCGAATATGTTTATTACCCTTATCTTTGAGGGCGATTTTCATCCTTTCAATGTGGACGATTGCCGATAAAAAAAATACGTGTCAAATATTTTTTTGAGAACTACCATGTACCAATGTTTCGTCAATATCGGTGATTACCACTTCGGGATGTTCCCTTGTCAGTGTATATCACACGATTCCACGCGACTATTCAGGATTTTCATTTCTATCGAATTTTTCAATAAATAACAAAGCAAATTAAGATTAGATCGTAGATGATAATTCATGATTCTTTTCTATAACTACAGTTTAATTCCCAGAATTGTAGAGTCGAATTGAATTGGATTAAATTTTATTCTATCTGATTCGTATAAATAAAATGTCGATATCGTATATTGAATTTTTTCCGCTTATCAATTTTTATACACAATAATCGAGAAGAAGGAATTTTTTATAGTACACGTGTATTGTTTGAACATTGTTATGTGACGTGATGAATAATCAGAATATTTGATATAAACGGTAGAAACTGCTGAATATATGAATTTAGCATTTGAAGAGTATTATGTGAATGTTAGGACACTTCAACGTTGGTGTGCAAAAATCAAGATTGGTGACGTTTCATTAGAATTGAGCTAAGAGGAAGACCATATAGGACCTAAGATAAATATAACATTTAAAAGGAAATTATTGAAAACAATCCACGATTGTTCATCCTCCCCTATTCACTCGAACTTTCCCCAAACAGATTACTATTTCTTCAAACACCTGAACAATTTTCTTAACAAATAAATTATCCCGAAATGAAAACACCGTAAAAACAGCATTCAGAGAATTTTTTCATTCAAAGACTTCGATATATATAAAGACATTCATACATATGAATAATTTTTAAATATATGGAATAATGAAACTATATAGTTAATCGTTGGGAAAAATGTATAGAATCGTGTGAAAATTATTTTGATTAAATACATTATTTTCTGAATTTATATATATTTGGAATAATGAAACTACCCGACTAGAATTTCAGTTAGGCATGCCTAAAGACGAATGTGGGCCTAATTCGGAAACGATTAGGCACACCTAAATGCTGCAAGCATTACCGCATTAGGTCCTAATTTGGAAGGAATGATGCATGCCTAAGTTGGGCATTCCTAACAGTTGCCATACGTGGCCCAAAT